ATTTGCGGTACGCGGGCCTCTCACTGTTGTGGCCTCTCCCGTTGCGGAGCACAGGCTCCGGACGCGCAGGCTCAGCGGCCATGGCTCACGGGCGCAGCCGCTCCGCGGCATGTGGGATCCTCCCGGACCGGGGCACGAACCCGTGTGATGATGAATCTTTAAAAATCAGTGACTGATCCATGAAGTCCCAGTGGAAAACCACTCTTTCTGACATTTTGGTCTCTGCATTCAGATGTCCTTAGAAAGGTCTACTGGATTTTGTTTTGTTTTTGTTTTTGGCATTGCCAAACTGTGACTTCTTAGCATGTACTATATCACATTTTCTTTTGTATCTTTTAGAATCCTAATTTTCTTACTTAGCATACCAATCAGTTTTTGTTATGTATAAACACTCGTTTTTTTATTTTTTATAATTCTTGTCACATATGTAAGAAGGTACATTTACTTTTCACGTTAGGAAATTAGAATCAAAACCAACAAAGATTTTGAGCACATATCATGAGATAGACATGGTCCTTGGGATTTTCTATGCATTGTTTCATTTTTACATCACCACAGCCTTGCTTTATGTTCCCTAGGAATTTGAGGTTTCTTTTTCTCTTATGGAACTGGATGTGTTGTGGGTGGTAACTGAGAACTTGTAATATATCAGGTGTTCAGAATGTTCTTTTGGAGGAATTTTTTATTAATGAAGCCCATGATTAAAGTTAAGATGGGTGTTTTATCAGAACCCTACTCAGAGAGAATCTCAAAAAGACCACAATCCCATCATAGAACTTAATAGAAATAGAGTTACTACTGGAAAATTTATCTCTAGTTGGAGTAGAAGAGGCATAACAACCATAAAAATCTATAAAACCAATTTAAATAATTTTTAAAGATTGACATGTTTTAGATCTTTGAACAATAAAAGTTTCACTAATAAAGGGGATGAGCAAAATTGTGGGAGCTCTTTGGAAGTTGGTGTTTCTGTCATTTTTGACCATGTTCTGGAAAAAGTTTAAGTTGTTTAAGTTTGGCTTTCATCTTAGTTTTCTGGGTAATTTGTTAGAGAAAGTGGTACCGTGTGATGACATTTTATGAACCTTAATAAATCATTTTCCTCTGAAAACCATTCTGGGAGCTGCCATTTAAAAATAAACAAGCACAAATAAAATAACTCAAGAGGAATAACTAGGTTGGATTTTAAATGGGTGAATGTTACTGAAGTGTGTTAATGGCCGAGACTGATCTTAAAGCCAGAGTCCACTTGTCCTTCAAAAGGGAATGTCCTTGGACTTGGCTGCAGTGTAGACTGTTGTGTCTCTCAGGTTTAAAGAAGTGACTGTCAGTGATGAAAACACAAATTAGAAAATTCTCTTTGACAAGAGAATTGAACATACACACACTACTATATATAAAATAGATTATCAACAAGGACCTACTGTATAGCACAGGGAACTCTACTCAATATTCTGTAATAACCTAAATGGGAAAAGAATCCGAAAAATAATGGACATACGTATACGTATCATTGAATCACTCTGCTGTACACCCGAAACTAACACAACACTGTGAATCAACTATACTCCAATATAAAATAAAATTTTTAAAAAAATGTTAAAAAAAGAGAAAATTCTCTTTGGCGTGGTGCTGACCTGTTGACCGTGATTTCAAAGAAGCAGATGGGTGGTGGGTCCATGTGTGAAACTGCGTGATGCAGGTTTACTCAGTGATCTAAACAGGAAAGATATGACAATGAAGAGCCCTGTATTTAAATTCTGTCCTTAACTCTCCCAGTCTCTTTTGATTTTTTTAAAATAGTCACCATGCTGTGCATTACATCCCCAGAATTTATTAATCTTATAAATGGAAGTTTGTACCTTTTGACCACCTTTACTCATTTCCCTCAGCCCACACCCTGTAAAATGAACTATAAAATGAAGGTGAAAAGAATAGAGGTAATGTAATAAATGCAGTGTGTGTTCTGTGTTATAGTGAGTTGTAGATGAACTGGTCAGCCATGCTAAAGCGTTAACCATCTTTAGAGCAAAACAAAATAATAGCTACAGAGTTCTCCCCTTTTAAATGCTAGAACATTTAAAAATAAGACGGTGACAATGACAATATAAACACAGTACATTTGACCCAAAAGAGGATTTGACAGCCCAGGCACTTGTTAGCAAGTTCTATTTTTGTGCTGAGTATAGTATGTTAAAAGATAAACTGAGGCATATTAAAAATGTTAAGAGTTTTATCTGAGCAAAAATCAATTGAATTGGGCAGCATCAAACCGGAAGTAATTAGGAGAACTCCACTGACAGGAGCTGGGAGAGACTTGTACAGAGAAGAAGGGGAAGCAAAGCAAGGAAATGATCTGATGGGCTGTGGCTTAGGTAGCCGCCTTATTTGGGAAAGTCTAGTTGGCTGCTTGTGACTGGTTGTCCTGAGTTTCGACTTCTTAACCTTGAGGTGTTTCAGGCTTAGGTTTTGGTTTGCTTATGGGGGCAGCTAAAGTGTTGAAGCCACTCAGTCTAATGGCCTCTTTGTGTTTTTGATTTAACAAGCAGAATCGTAGAGGTTTAGATATTGCCTCTCATTATCATTTTTGAACACTTACTGTGTGCAAGCCTACTTACTCTCATTCCTCAGTCATTCATTCATCTACTTTAACTACTTGAATGTCCTTTGAGCATCTGCTGTGGGTCAGGCATTGCTCTAGGTACTGAGGATACAGGAGTGGACACAACCAACTGGACCACAGCCTTCATGGGACCAGCGTTATAGGGGAGGACGGTGAGAGAGCTGACAGTTGTGCATCAAACAAATGAATAAACAAGGTAATTTCAGGTAACAATAGATGGAAAAAGAAAATAAAACAGGAAGAAGGAATAGAGATAGATGGAAGCGAGAGAGTGAGTGGGGGCAACTCAGGAACCTTCAGGAAAGCCTCTCTCAGGAGCTGAAACTCCATGAGGAGGAGATGGGGTTGGGGGGGAGCATTCCCCACAGAAAAACAGGTGCAAAGCGTTCTCAGCACCTTATTTGTATATATTTCTCATTTTGCAACTGTGCAAGGCTGACTGTCCAAAGCAGCACAGTGAGAAACTGGTGTGTTCTTTCCTTGAAGGATGTTTGACTCAGAGCCTATGTTTTCAGCTACTGTGTTCTACTGCTTAGTGGAGATGGACTGCTGATTGAGCTCTGCTTGATCTGTACAACAGAACAGACAAACCAACCAACTGACCCATCTTAGGTCTGGTGACCAGAGGCCTGACCTGGGCTCCCACAGTGGGAGCCGTCACGCCTCACCCAGATTCCAGACCTGAGTTATTCACACTCAGAGCCTCCAGAAGGAAGGAGAGGCCAGGTTTAAAAATATCCACTTCTTTCTCTTTCATATACCCAAATCCTATCAATCAAGAGCAATGGCAAATCAATGAGTGAAATTTAAAAAAATCACCATAAAGAAATAAACAAGGGACATAAGCCAGATGAAGAAATAGAAAATGCAAATGAGGATGCAAAAAGATGTTTATTCTCGTTAATTACCAAAGAATTACAAATGAAAACAAGGCACCACTTTATCCTTTTCTATTAGCAAATATGAAAGAGGCCAAGAATATCCAGGGTTGGTGAGGTGTCTATCACAATTTGGGTGTGAATATTTTATAGTCTAGTTCGGGCACATTTAACCGATCTTACAGACTCCGTGTTCACATGTTATAAGGTGTAGTGAGTTTCATGCTCTCAAAAGGTGTGACCAGACAGAACCTGTGAATGTGACCTTCTTTGAAGAAAGAGTCTTCGAGGGTGTAATTAAGGACCTCAAGATGAGATCATCCTGGGTCAGGATGGACTCTTAATCCAAAGACAAGTGTCCTAAGAGAAGTGGAGAAGACAGACACATGGGGGCAGCTTGGCCTGAGCTGCTCGAAATCAAGGAACACCTGGACCACTGGAAGCCGGAAGAGGCAAGGATTCTTCTGTATCCTTCCAAGGGAGTGTGGTCCTGCCAACTACTCGCTTCTGGGCTTCTGGCCTCCAGAACTGTGAGAGAATATATTCCTGTTGTTTGTGGTAATTTGTTCCAGCAGCCCTAGGAGATGAATGCACAAGGTATATCCACCTTTCATGTGACAATATTTTGTAATGGCAAAAACTGGAAACAATCTAAATGCTTGTCAAAGTGTGACTGGTTAGCTGAGTTACGTCATTTAAAAAAAAGATAGATATAATTACACTGACAACTCATAGGTGATATATTGTTAAGTAAGGAAAAAAGACATTATTATTATTATTAAAAAAGAAAACCAAATCATCCATTTGTAAATATGTTTGATATAGAGTGACCTTGAATGGGAGGTGATTCTCCATTTTTCTGATAGGGATGCCCTCAAGTTTTTCTGGGCAAGCTTGAATATGTAAATCTTTGGGGATATAGATGAAATAATCAAAAGTCTACTCATAAATTATTAATGTAGCTAAACATGCATATTCAACATCAGAAGTGTACGATAATATTAACCTAGACAGATTTTTTTTTCCTCTTGCATTTTGGCAATTTTATTCAAATTCTTGACATATTAGGTATTGTTTGAGATCATTATAAGCTAATACTTCTCCCCCCCAAAACTGCTGCTCTGACTAAACTTAGAGTTAGTGTCTGAAAGGCACCACAAAACTGTGGAGTCCTCCCAAGCTGTTTTTAAGGGGTGATACAGAGAAATCTGATAGCACAGTTACAGGCGTTGGAGAAAAATAAAACCATGTCATATTTGTCCTCTACTGAGCTCAGTCTGGTCAATGAATTGGATATATTTATCATTTGTGTGTGCACAGAAACATGTTTGGGAGGATGTAAACCAAGCTGTGTCCAAGTTAACAGTGGTTACCCTGGGGTGTGGGATTAGTAGTGACTGTGTGTGTGTGTGTGTGTCTTTTGCCAATTAGTTTTCCATCTGTATTGTTGGAATGTGTTACCTGGGCATATATTACTCCTGTAGTACTAATACTATTAATTATAAAAGTAAAAAAATTAAAAAAACCTACCAATCCCTTAAGATCCAGGCTACCTTTGACCTGTCCTCATTCTTATCTGGAAATGATTTCTCCCCACTCAAATCTCCCAGTGATTTTTCTCTGTCTCTCTTTTATGCATTATAACTTTCTAATGTGTACATTTATCCTTTGGTAAATAACTTTTATTTGTTCTTGAAAGCCCTGCTGCAAAGGAAAAAGCTGCTGAATAAATATATCTCGTAATTATTTTTCTCATTTAAAATTTTATTTTTAAAGCAGCATACCATATAATTGACTTTTTGGTGTACAGTTCTATACCATCAAAGTCGTGTATACAAATCTATACATGAACAGTTCAATCACCTCAAAAAACTCCCCTGTGGGGACATAATATGCAATTTCAAAATTGCCCTTTTGAAGTTATATCTTTCCCCTTTCTCCTGACCCCTGGCAACCACTGACCTATTCTGCAAAACTATGTCTCTTTTGCTGTGTCCCTTTGAGACATTCATTTCAATAGAATCGTATAGTATGTAACCTTTTGAGACTGGCTTTTTCCAAGTGGCATAATGCCTTCGAGATCCACTGAAGCTGTTGCATACCTCCTTAGATCAATACTTTGTTTTTTTATTATTGAGGAAGATTCCATTGTATGGATGTGCCATGGTTTGTTTAACCATTTACCCACTGAAGGACATTGGGTTGCTTCCATTTTGGGGCTATGATCAACAGAGCTATTACAAACATTAGTGTACAGGTTTTTGTGTAGACGTGAGCCTTCATTTCTCTAGAGTAAATAACTAGGAGGAGACTTCGGCATCCTGTAAGTAAGTGTATGTTTACCTTTATAAGAAACTGCCAGACAGTTTTCTGAGAGTAGCAGCACTGTTTTGCATTCCTACCAGTAATGTGTGTGCATTCTAGATGCTCCGTATCTTTACCTGCACTTTACCTATATTTTCAGCATTTTTTATTATAGCCATTCTAATAGGTATGTGCTGGAGTCTTATCATGGTTTTGTCTTGTATCCCTAACAACTAAGGATGTTGAACATCTTTTCACGTGCAGATTTGCCATTTGTGTATCACTGTTTAAGTGTCTATTCAAGAATTTTTACACTTGTCAAATAATTGTCCATTGGTTTGTTGAAAGCAGTGTTTCTCAACATGCTCGCTGTTGACATTTGGGATGGTATAATTCCTGGTTTTGTAGGCCATCCTATTCGTCGGAGCTCATTTAGATTCCCTGGATTTGGGACACAAAATGCTCAAAGCACGTGAAGTTGTGATAACCAAAAAACACTCTCACACATTTCCAAACTCCATGAGGAGGATGGTACCATCTAATAAAGACCACTAGCTTAGAAATTAGGATATTCCCCTAAAATCAGGTCGATTTCCCCCAGTTCACATGGGGTTTGTGGTGGAAGGGTGAGTAGCTTAACATATCAGGGTTCTTCTTGGGAAGAGGGGAATTAATGCTAGACAGATGAAAAGCAGAGTCCACTGGGATTTAACTCACTTTTTTTCTCAATAGTCTATGTGTCCATGGCTAAGCCTTTAGGTAGCCTTTCTATAAATAAAGAACTGACAACAACCTCCTTAGATGTGAAAAACATTGCTTTGGCCAAGCTCCTCCCATAACCTAAGGTATTTTTTTGTGATTTTCTAGCTGAGAGATGTATGAGAGGGGAGGATTAACCACTATCTGCTTTTTCATTCTTCCCCCTCCTTTCCACCCACCTCCCTTTCCCCTCTCCTCTCCTTCCCCCTCCCCTTCCTCCTCCTTCTTCTTTTTTTGGATTTCAATAAATATATTTACAGATTTATGGCTGAAGTTTTAGCTTGTTTCCCTAGCAACTGATTTTAGAATACCAAACAAATTACTTTTCTTTAAAGTCATGACTGTCTATGACAACAAAGGCAGAAAATTGAACAATATAATAACTGAGATTATCATCAGAAAGTTACAGTTTAGTTGGGGACAAAATGTGAACTTACATAAGAACAACTAAAATACCTACAAAATACCTGTAAACAAGTATTCTGTGATATAAACTAAACATCCTGAGGAAACAACAGAGGAGCTGCAGACAAATTCTTAGCGTCAAGGGCAGCAGACCAAGAGTCACAAGACTCTGTCCTGCAGGAACAACGTGGTGAAACTCAGTTTCCTCATTTATAAGTTAGGGATGAAGTTACTCCTCTATACATCTGACATGACAACTGCTAAGATACCATGATAATATATACAACATAGGTGGGTATAAATGTAGGTAATGTGTATATATGTAACGTACATATATGTAATGTATATCACAATGCTTTGAAATCTGGAAAGGTAGGAATCAGTCCATCAGCATCAACATCATCATAACTGTATTAGTCACGGTTCTCCAGAGAAACAGAAACAATAGGATACCTATCTCTCTCTCTCTCTCTCTCGCTCTCTCTCTTGACATATAAGAGGAAATTTATTACGGCTTACATGGTTACGGAGGCTGAGATATGCCACGATACACTGTCTGCAATCTGGGGAAACCAGGAAAGCCAGTAGTATAATTCAGTCCAAGTCCGAAAGCCCAAGAACTAGGAACCCCAATGTCAGAGGGCAGGGCTCAAAAAGAGAGACAATTCAGACGGAAGAAGACAAATACTGTATGATATCACTTATATGTGGAATCTGAAAAACACAACAAACTAGTGAATATAACAAAGAAGAAGCAGCCTCACAGATACAGAGAACAAACTAGTGGTTGTCAGTGGGGATGATGGTGGCGGGGGGGCATTACAGGGGTTGGGGGTGGGAGGCAAAAACTACTGGGTGTAAGGCAGGTTCCACACGGGGAATGTAGCCAATATTTTGTAATAACCGTACATGGAAACTGACGTTTAAAAATTGTATAACTTTTTAAAAATTAAAAAATAAAAAATCTAAAAAAAGAGAGAGAAACAACTCACCCTTCCTTTGCCTTTTTGTCCTACTGGGGCTCTCAAAGGATTGGATGATGCCTGTTCAGAGTGGTGTGGACAGATCTTCTTTCCTCAGTCATGGGATTCAAATGCTAATCTCCTCCAAAAATATCCTCACAGACACACCCAGAAATAATGTTTTATCAGCTACCTGGACATTCCTTAGCCCAGTTTTCCTGGCACATAAAACTAACCAACATAATCAACCTCATCCTCATTCTCATCATTCCTTAGCTCGCTTGGCAAGTAGGGAAGGGACCATGAATAGAAAAGGAGCATGAAATATAACAGGGGACAAGATGCCATCTGGAAAGATTTAGAGCCGGTTATGTGGGTTCAGTGCAAACTGCGGGCAACGGTCTTGAGACTCAGAAATTTTCTCCCCAGGTGCTCTGAGATCTCTGCCAGTGGAGCCCCCCTCCAACACAACCCTTTTCCTACAACACCCCTAAACCTTTAGACCCAGTGCTGCTTCCTTCGAGTTCCCCCTCAAGTCAGAGGAGTGGGAACAAAGACCCCCAAATACTTTGTGTAGCCTACTGCTGTCTCCTTTAAGTTAGACACTTTTAGAAAATGTCTTAATTTTATCTTAAAAAAGGAAATGTGAATTTTGCATTTTTTACCCCATGATAGTTTTTTATTTGTTTTAGAGGAAAAATGATGTTTTCAATGAATAAGAACCAGTTTTTACCTATCTCCCTGGTGGCTAGTTAAAATGTAATGAATTGAGAAAATCAATTTTGAGGAACTGAGCTGAACTGCAAAAGCTCAGCCCAGTATGTGTTTCAACAGCTACATAATCCTCTTCTTGGTGTTTGGGTTTATCCCAGGTATTTTTATTCTTGCCCATCCTCAACCCTCTCTAAGCAAAGCTGCTCCACCTACAGCCCTATAATTCTTTGTGCCAAGTATGTTCTCCACCCACCTCCATGTACAGTTAACTGAATCAGGTGACCCAGCCACCCAGAGCCAGTACGGAGAAAGATACCTACCCCGGGGATGGACTGGACTCTCTCTTAGGGTCAGGGAATAAGATACCAGTCAGTGATAAGTTATCAGGTAGAAGGAAATGGGGGAGTTACATGGGAGAGCAAAAAGCAAAGCCCAGAGTCTCAAATAATACTTAGGAAGTATTTCAAGTGATCCAAATGCTAAAGACGGCATTTTACAAGATTTAGCATGGCAACAGTGTGAGGAATGAATGAGAACAAAGAGAAGCAGGAAGCTAGACAAGCCTCACTTAACCCATAATTGTGAGGTGAAGGTGACCTGGAGGGGTATTGGCTGTGGAACAGAGGAGATTCAGATGTATGGGAAGTGGTGTGTTTTGCTGCTTTATGTTAAAAAGTTACCAAAGAGATGACTTTAGTGCTTCTTTCTTCCTTTGCAGGTAGAGTAGAAGTCAAATTTCTTGGACTTTTAAAAAAGAACACTGACGTTATCACTCTATTGTTAGTGCAGATTCGGGGATTCACAGCAAACACAGTCAACCGTCTGGTCATTTTGAGTATTTAGTCCTTAAATTTGACAAATGTGACAATTACCTTGGCCCATGGTTCCTGGTTCAAGAATGAAAAGCCACAATTCATTTTAAAAGCTGCCACAATTCTGTCGGAGTGGGCGGAAATGGAAGGCCAGGCAGCCACCCTGCACTGCCTTGCTTTGTGCTGTCATCTGCAAATGTGATGAGTGCTCTTGGTGGGACGTGGAATTGCTGTCTGTGCCCGTGAGAGTCCATTTGCTCTGGCCCAAATGGGACACTCTCTGTCCCAAGATCTCTCAATACTGTTTAAAATACCCACCTTGGTTCTTTTTTCTTTTGAAAAACTGCAATGTTTAGGAAGTATTTCAAGCCAATGGGCATGTGCTCATTATTGCTCGAATATGTAGGTCAACCATGTGACTGCTTTTGCCAATTTTTAGGTGTTTGAAAGTAGTCTTTTCCAGTGGTGGCAGGCCTTTTTTTTTTTTTTTTTTTGCAATATAACATGATTTCAAAAGAAGACTTTAAAATTCATTCTAAAACCATTAATTTGTTTGTTTGTTTTTGATATTTTATTTATTTTTTCTTTGTACATTTCTTGTTTTTTCAAATTGAAATATAGTTGATTTAAAATGTTTCAGTTGTACAGCAAAGTGATTCAGTTATATTATATATATTCTTTTTCAGATTCTTTTCCATTATAGGTTATTATCAGATATAAATATAGTTCCTTGAGCTATACAGTAGGTCTTGTTGTTTATTTTATATACAGTAGTGCGTACCTCTTAATTCCAAATTCCCCATTTACCCCTCCTCCCCTTTCCCCTTAGGTAATCATGAGAAAACCATTAATTAATATGGGCTTCCACTATGAAGACTTTGGGGGTTATTGGGTCAGTGAAATCAATGCTACGAGTATTAGAATGAAATAGCAAGAGCTGACCAATGGAAAGGACTCAGGGAACCAAGGATTTCTGCTTTGAAAAGCTCCTTTAAAAGTTCTTCTCCAGGGTATATGCCCAGTAGTGGGATTGCTGGGTCATATAGTAGTTATATTTTTAGCTTTTTAAGGAACTTCCATACTGTTCTCCACAGTAGCTGTATCAATTTACATTCCCACCAACAGTGCAAGAAGGTTCCCTTTTCTCCACACCCTCTCCAGCATTTATTGTTTGTAGATTTTTTGATTCTGACCTGTGTGAGGTGTTACCTCATTGTAGGTTTGATTTGCATTTCTCTAATAATTAGTGATGTTGAGCATCTTTTCATGTGTTTGTTGGCCATCTGTATGTCATAATTCAAAGGGTCACATGTACCCCAGTGTTCATTGCAGCACTGTTTACAAAAGCCAGGACGTGGAAGCAACCTAAAAGTCTATCAGCAGATGACTGGATAGAAAAGATGTGGTGCATATATATAATGGAATATTACTCAGCCATGGAAAAGAATGAAATTGGCTCATTTGTAGAGGTGTGGATGGACCTAGAGTCAGTCATGCAGAGTGGAGTAAGTCAGAAAGAGAAAAACAAATATTGTATATTAATGCATAGATGTGGAATCTAGAAAAGTGGTACAGATGAACCTATTTGCAGGGCAGGAATAGAGACCCAGATGTAGAGAACAGACGTGTGGACATGTGGGTGGGGGAAGGGGAGGGTGGGATGAATTGTGAGATTAGGTTTGACATAAATACACTGCCATGTGTAAAATAGATAGCTAGTGGGGAACCTGCTGTATAGCACAGGGAGCTCAGCTTGGTGCTCTGTGATGACCTAGATGGGTGGGATGGGGGTGGGGAGGGAGGTCCAAGAGGAAGGGGATATAGGTGTACATAAAGCTGAGTCACTTTATTGTACAGCAGAAACTAACACAACATTGTAAAGCAATTGTAGTCCCATAAAAAAAAAAAAAGTTCTCCTCCAGCATGGCTTAGATGCATCAACTTTCCTCCCACCTACAAGAGACAAGTGTGGAATAAAATTTCATATTGAGCTTGTATCTCAGGAAATAGTTCATGAGATCATACACTGTGTTTGACATGTAGGGAATTCTAGATTTTTATTTTAAAATGTTATATTTATCTTAAACTTAGTTATTTTAAACTTGGCTTCAAATTGTGGAATTATAGAAATTAGAAATTCATGAGGCGTAGTGGCTCTGTGTGCACGGCCGAGTTTGAGACTCTTAAACTTCTCAAGGAATAGGCTCATGGCAAAAATATAAATTTGATTTCCCTGTGAATCAGCATGACCTATTTTATTACATAGGTGAGTTGCTATGGATGTTGAGAGAGTAACAGCACACTTGACAGAGACCTCGAATTTTTCATTTCTTTACCATCAGCTGTATTTGGTGGCAGGTTCTCTCTAGGCAAGATTATGAAGTGGGGGGCTTCCCTGGTGGCGCAGTGGTTGAGAGTCCACCTGCTGATGCAGGGGGACACGGGTTCGTGCCCCGGTCCGGGAAGATCCCACATGCCATGGAGCGGCTGGGCCCATGAGCCATGGCTGCTGAGCCTGCGCGTCCGGAGCCTGTGCTCCGCAACGGGAGAGGCCACAACAGTGAGAGGCCCGCGTACCGCAAAAAAAAAAAAAAAAAAAGATTATGAAGTGGGGAAGCTGGTATTTTTATCCTCCTCTCTCTTTGACCAACCCAGTCATTGGTGGCTATATTTCTCTTCCATCTAGTGTCTTCAGAAACTCGTATCTCCTTTTTACCAAGAATCCATCAATATACACTTCCACAAATGTTGAATAACCTAATTTATATTAACGCTAAATGTTCACCAATTAAAGACTATTCTTAAGGCATAGGTCTTTTTTTTGACTATTATTTCTAATGGTAAGAAAACATTACCTTTTTTCTCCTTCCTGTAATTTAACACATTTTCATTGTAGAATACATAGAAAGTAGTTGAACAAAAAGAAAAAAAATATTCCATGATCATATTTCTCCAAGACTATTTCTGCTAATTTTGATATACATTCTTCATATAACAAAATGAAATCATCCCTGTGCAAATTTTAAACTGTCTCTCTTCTCTTAATTTATGATGATTTTTTACATCTTTAAACATGCTGATAAGTCATATTTAATATTTCCATGGCTTGTATTATATGACTGTACCCTAAGTTATTTAAACAATCCACTCTTATTTAACATTAAAATTGTGTCCATTACTTTGTTTTTATAAGTTGTTGAAATTAACATCCTTTTACCTATTTCTTCAAGTGCAATCATGATCATAAGGGGAAAAACCTTGGATATGATACCTCATTGCCAGTGTGAACCAGGGACAGAGAAATTTCTTGCCCCTTGAAATCATATCTCCTCATTCAGGATTTTTTTCTGCTTGCTGCTGAGGATAGCCTTGTTTGTTAGCCCTCAAAAATGAACAAAAACTGAGCTAATTTGGCACTTACTAAAGGAGAAAAATAATAGCAAATAGTTGAAAGTTTGGAAGTGCTTTATGTCACATTGAAAACACAAAAAAGTGAATTATCTGACCTACAGTCCACCCAATTAACTATGATGTTTGGAAATACCACAATAAAACTGAGTTCACAGCTTTGGAATTCGATGCAGAGCCTTTCACATGAAAGTTACTCATGGTTGAAATAGTCATGATTCTCAACTGATTTCTCCTGAACTGTGAATCTTGGTCAGTGTCAAAGTTACAGGGCAGGTGGGTCAGAAAGCTTGAAACAGGTGT